ACTCACTCACTCACTCACTCACTCACAGTTTCGGTCAAGCCCGATGAAAAGCAGTTCTGGTTCAAGTGGGAACTCGTCATGGTATTCGACAGGTATGTGGTCCGGCTTGCCTGATGCGCACACGCGCATTGACCGCCATCAGCACGTCTGGCTGAGAGGCCTCAACCTTGGTCTGACTCTCTCTCTCTCTCTTGCTCGGTGTGCGTGGCTGCAGGAAAATGAACGATATGCTCAGCTCCTCGTTGAAGGTCACGGAGCTCCACTTTGACGAGGGACTCAACCCGGCGCTGAGAGAGACGCTGCGCACGATCCTCAACAACGGCAACATGGTCATCGAGTAGGGAGGAGGCCTCTCAGGAGACGGCACGCCATCGACACCTCTTCTTTCACGCCACGCCACACCACGCCGCAAATAGTTTGTGGCATCTTCATTTCCTCATCACAGCTGCTGAGTCCCTTTGGACATTTTACCAATCTCTTCGAGCGCCTTGCGGTAAGCGTACTCCTCCTTCCAGCCTTCTTGAAGAGCAAGGAGAAGAGGATCCTCTTCTCCCTCATCGTCGTCGTCGTCGTCGTCGTCGTCGTCGTCGTCTTCTTCTTCTTCTTCATCTTCATCTTCTTTATCATGTGGGATGTGGTTGACGAACTGGTAGAACTCGAGCTCGAGCTGCAGCTCCCTCTGCTTGGCCTCGTCCAGCGGCCACACCAGCTCCCCAGTGCGCAGGTAGTTCAGCAGCACACGGAAGTGCTTCCCGTCCCTGCACGTGTAGGACGACAAACAAGGAACGTGAGCACACGTTTGTGTGCGTGCGCAGTGGTGTGCGTGCGCAGTGGTGCGTGCATGCGTGTGCGACAACAACAACAAGAGGGGGCACCTGTCGATGTAGAAGGCGCCCTGGTCGTCGGTCTTCCACTCGCCAGAGAACATGGCGGCCAGGAAGGAGCCTGGCTCGCGGGTGCTTAGGGTGTCGAGCGAGGTCATGAAGAGCTGGCCGCCCACGTTGAGAAGCACGCGCGACTCACACCTGGTGGAGTTTTGAAGCTTGGCGCGCATGGCGTCCCTCTCGGCTTTGAGCGCTTCAATCTCTGCCTTGAGCTCTCTGTCGCGCAGGTGGACCAGTTCCAGCCACTGCTGGCTGCACTCGGCGATCTTCTCGTCCCAGCTGAGCGGTTCTTCTTCGCTGAGCTGTTCTTCTTCTGCTACTTCTACTTCTCCCTCTTCATCGCTGCTGCTACGTTCGCTCTTTTCCACGTGCCATTCTTCAACCCTCTTCCTCTTCCCCTTCCCCTTTGTCTTGGTCTTCTTTGCGTTCATGCTGCTGCTTGGTCTTGTGTTGGCTTCAGCGTAGTGGTGAGTGTAAGAAGAAGAGGAAGTAGTGGCGTCTTCAGGTCTCGCCAGCAGGACCGACGTCAGCACAATGGTATGACAGGAATGCCAACACATATTCTGCACCACCACTTGCAAGTGGAGGCATCAACAGAGATGTCACAGAGGACAATGTCAAACTGCTTAGGAGTTGAGCAAGTGACCCAGAGGTGAGAGACACACTTGCAGAGGTCATTGTAGTCAGATGTCTCCTCAAGTGTTCTTGCTGGAAAATAAGACAGAATAAAAAATGTAACTTTCATTTTTATGGTATAAAAATGAAAGTTGTATTTTTAGTCATTGGGGGGTATCATTGGCAGCAAAAACAAAAGTAGACACCTTGTGTGGTGGACCAGGCCTGGAGGAGGATCCTCTTTGATGTAAGGCAGCTTGGCATGAGGAGTAAGTGCAATCCTGTTTGGTACTTGGTGCAACCACCAAAAAACCAGGCCTGCTCAGCAGAGTGCACATGCTTCCACCCATTTCCAGGACTCATCCTCCACTTCAACCTGACCCCACCCCATACATGTGACAACACACCACACTCACACATGCCACCTACAACTTGTGCTCATTTGAAATGAGAGGTCACAAATGACTGTGGAAATTGTGTTGTGCAAATCATGTGATTTGACATTTTTGATTTACAGGGCAGTTTTGAAGATTTGGATCTGCATGTGTGATTTTGACATGCTAGACCACTGCTTATAAGTGATATTGAGGGACTTGAGATGAAAATGATTTCATAAAAACTTGGAATGTGTGGAGTTAAAAGTGATTTTATCAGTGTGAGATGGCCCTTTGTTGTGGTGGAATTTTATCTTCAGGAATAGTGCTCCAATTCAGCACAAATGTGAAGAATGAAGTTCAGTGCATGTGTGCAACTGACTCAATATGGTGTGAGGAACTGGATGTGAGGGCAGCATGTTGGCCACTGGTTATGGAATTGATGGAGGGGAAGAAAGCAAAAGCAAGGTGCAGTTTGAGGTTGTTCAGAGGAGCAAAACAAGCACTGATTTTCCAGATCATGTATGCATACATGATAAACTAAGTATTGGTAGGTCAAACATGTAGTCATTGTGAACGTGTATGTGATAAAGTAAGTGTCTGGTTTTACAGTTTTTGTTGTTGTGTATGCATATGTGCAAGTCACCCTGCCATCAGCCACAACAAGGAAATGTTGAAGCTTCTGATGGAGGTTACTGCTCCATTGCATACATGCTATTATCAAAGCCCATAATGCTTTGAAACTGCAGGACATTCCATCATGACACATATGCAATAGAATGTTTGCTAATATATCTCCTTCTTGCCCCACCAATCAGGTGAAGATGAATGCTGCAACAATTTGATATCAACTGAATGACAAAGAGCAGCTCCAGGCCACCCTCATAGTGAGCAGCCACTTCCTCAGGAGGCCAAGAAGTTAGAGATGAAGGGCACTCTCCACACTGAGATGTGACAAACGGCCCCTCTGAATTGCTTGCATAAAGAATAAAAATTGACTTTTTGTCCAGTTAAATCCCAGCAGCCAGGATTTTTCCTTTTATGGTTTCTGTGTGCCAGCCGTTCAGGAAAGTACCGAAAAAAACGTGCGTAGTCATCGCGTACGCGATAAAGTAAGGGATACCAAAACATGTACATGATAGAAATTGGTCATTCCAGACCTTGACTGATGGCCCAGTTACAGCATCATATCTCTCATTATGATGGTATTTTAATCTGCCATTTCTCAAGATGCTCCCAATTTTGTCTTGCTATTCTTAAATTAAAACCCTTTTTGTGTTGTCAAAACTATTTTTATGAGCTTAAACTCACAAACAAAATCACTTTTCAAAATGACTGGACCTCTCATTTCAAATGACTGCAAGTTTAAACAGGATTATCCTTGTTTTATGAAAGTCAGGATGACAGGAAAAATGAAATATGGCAGCCATTAATTAGGATAAGTGGGAGGACTTCCAGCACCATGACACCCTGCACACCAGCAGGTTCTGGACCACTACATAAGGCAAGCAATCCATCAACTGGAAGAAGCTCATCAGCTCAATGGGACATTATCACATACACATACACAATGAAAACCACACTCCAGAGAACATGACAGCACCTGGAAGGAGGCCAGTTAACAGGTGCATTGGGTGTCAAGCAACCACCCATGTTGAGATACACACATGACTCCAACTTGGTGGTTTCATGGAGTTTGGGCAAACACACTCTTCTTGACCTTGAATTCCTCCTTCTTGGGCTTGAGCTTACTCTAGCACCAGCAGTGTCCACTTCTGGCCACTTTGTGATCTTGTTGTTGATGTGTGTTCCTCATCACCCTGATGGCAAAACAAGCCTGGCTCTTGCTTCTCATGCTTCAGTTGCTGCCACTTGGAGTTCATGTTGTGAGTGTGGGTGGTGAATGCTGTCTGGTCTTGCTCCAGTCTGTCCAGTTGGTTGGTAAACAATACTGTCCAGGACAGCTGGATAGCAGCACATGGCCATGTGTATAGGATCACCTGCCTTGCAGTGCTGTGGTGGATGATCATCGACCACCACTGACTCAGTTGGGCCAACAGCTTTGGCGCAACTCAGGATCTCACATTAAAAGCCCCGAGGTAATATTTCCTCTTGTCGGAAGTGGGCCGAAAATTCCATACCAATGGTTGGAAAATCGGCCCTTTCCTCGAACACACGACGCACAAGTCGCCGAACGACAACGACACGTCCACACAAAGAGAGCCACGGCCAGAACGGCACAGAATCGATTTTTTCACACAAAACGAACTGCACACACCACAGCCAAACGGCGCAGGCGCGACCTCAACGAAAGTTTAGTTTGAAATCGGACAAAGGAGACAAGAAGAGAAGAGGAAGGGACAACACAACAACCACCAAAGAAGAACAAACAAAGAAGAATGCAAGCGTACCAAGAAGATCAGGCGGTGGAGGTGACGACAACGACCAGCACGACTACACCTCGTGAGGTCGAGAAGACTGGGTATGCCGTCACAACTCCTCAGGAAGAAGAGGTACTGCCCCCTCCTGAACATTTACAAGATTTAACTTAATAAATAACAAATCCCCAACATTAAAAAAACAATAAGTACTGTGTTTGCTATTTATTGATTAAATCAATAAAAAGTTGACACTTGCGATTAATTGCGGTTTTGCTCTGTCTTCTCTCTCGTCAGGCGGTGGTGACGCTTAGGGCGGCATTTCCGGACAGCGAGTTCGTCAAGAACTTGAACGACACCATGCTCCTGCGCTACGTGCGGGCGCGATCCACACTCGACGAATCCATCGCCATCCTCAAGACCACCATCGTACTACACCCTCACCCTCCCCCATCCCGTGTGTATGGTAACAATTCCAATATTCTTTATTCTTTTATGTTTTATTCAATTCAATTTATGAATAATTAATAAATGTTATTAACAATTTTTTCAGGAATGGCGAGCTGAGAACAAGCCGGAGGAGATGCGGTTGCAGAAGGCCAGCTTCGAGTCGGTGCTCAAGTCGGGCCTGGTCTACTGGCACAAGCACGACAAGCAGGGCCGGCCGTGCGTCGTGGTCTTCCCGCGCCAACACTTCCCCGGCAAGACCACCCTCGAGTGCACCTACCAGGCCTGCGTCTACTTCCTCGAAAGCGCCCGAAACAAGTACGCGCACCTCCTCCTCCTCCTCGTGTTCGTCAACGTTGTCGTCATCGTTGTCGTCTACTCTTGATGGTTGGTGCTCACATGAAGTATGTCTCTGTGATATTGTCTATATAAAACCAACAGGGTAATAAACGAGGGAGGACCTTCGCAATACGTGCTCATCTACGACATGAAGGACTTCTCGTTCACCAAGAACATGGACGTGGAGGCCATCCGAAAGGTTCGGTTTAGCACCACGTTCGAACTTCATCATATTTTGTTAATAATATTTATAATATTTAT